TTTCAATGACAGTCTGAAAACTTAGTTCCTGTAATGTGGATTTAAGCTTCCCTCTGAGCTCCTGATTGTCTCTACCCTGGTCACTGCAACTACTATCTCTATACCTGCATTTCTAAGAGGCTATAGCAAAATATAGTATTTTTATATGGTAAATGGCTGAATGAACCTTGTTCTAGATTGTGATCTCACCATTATCAAAATAGAAATGACATTTTTAGGCCCATTCTGCAAAATGGATGGAGTGAGATGAATTCTTCCCATTCCCTATTTGTAAAGAAAATACTAGTATTTAGCATTTTATGCTGCTTAGTTTCTACAGTTAATGTCTACTGGAACAAAACTCTTAACAGAGCATTAATTGAAGGATAAAAATCCTTAACAAGAAAAGTGAAATTTACAATCTTTACTTTTATTCCATTAGAAAATGTTCTGTAGTTGGAGTATAGCATAGAAGTCCAAGCCTGTTTTGGTAAACTAATCTAAGCAAAAAATAAGTCCAGGGCACTCAATTTCAGACTTAAAAGTGGCCGTTCTTCAATGAACAAACTTCAAGGAGAAACTGCAGAACTGGAATTCATTTGCAAACTTGAATAATGACAGGTTTCAGAGTAGCAGCCGTGTTAGTCTGTATCCGCAAATAGAAGAACAGGAGTACTTGTGGGTATAGTCCACGAAAGCTTATGCTCTAATAAATTTGTTAGTCTCTAAGGTGCCACAAGTACTCCTGTTCTTCTATTTGCAAACTTGACACTGACACCATCAAATTAGGCCTGAATAAAGACTGGGAATGGCTGGGTCACTACAAGAAGTAATCTCCCATCAACTGTTGAGTATGGGCTATCCACCCTGATGGAATTGGCATGGTTAGCACTACAAAAAGTAATTTTTACTCTGTTGACATTCACACCTTCGTGTCAACTGTTGGGAATGGGACACATCCACCCTGATTGAATCACACACACACCCCCACTTGGTAAGGCAACTCCCATCTTTTCTTGTGCTGTATATTTATGCCTGCCTACTGTAATTTTCACTCCATACATCTGAAGAAATGGGTCATAGCCCACACAACCTTATGCTTTAACAAATTTGTTAGCCTTTAAGGTGCCACAAGACTCCTCCTTGTTTTTGCTGAAACAGACTAAGATGGCTACCCCTCTGAAACTCATAATTAAGGTTGAGTCTGTATGTGCATCATATCTCTTAAAGCAGTGAATAAACACCAAAGCTGCACATTTTACTAATAACTGGAAGAAATGTCTCCAAATGCAGGAATGGTAGTAATTATAGCTAATGTAAATATGAAAATATTAAATTAGTTTGTGCTACATAGTGTTTGACTGACTGTAATTACAGCTTGAGTATTGTAATTTGTCATTAGTAACACCTGAACAGATAGTTACCTCTGTCATAGTTTCACAAGCTAATCTGTATTTGAGTCAGGAGGAAAAGGCCAACGTTTTTCAAACAGATGAAATTTGAAGTATCTTACTGTGACTTTAAAAGGACAACTGTTTAAAAAAAATATTGTCTGATAGTTAAGTGGGGCTGCCTGAAAAATTTCAGTCAAATTTTTAAATGGAAAACCTTTTGTTTTGACAAGTTGCAAGTTCATGGAAAGTTTACTTTCCTTGACCACTTGATTTTTATTTTTGTTTGTTTAAAAAAAAAACTTGGCAACTGGAAAGGAAATGTTTTCATTCAAAATTCTGTTTTTTCTTTCTCTGCAAAACCCAAAAAAATTCCAACAGAAGATTGATAAAAACTGGATTTTTCATTTTGTCAGTGTTCTACTTGGGGGAAGGGACACACTTCCTGACTAGATGTACTTTTTCCTTAGTGTTGCTACACATACAAGATAATCCAACTAAGTGTAGAGAATAAAATTCTCAATATATCTTTGTGAATTGGATAACATTGTGGGTAGTTGGTTTTATGGTTGTGGGTCTTTTACACAGCAAGAGAGAAGATAAATGAGGTGAATTTCCAGTCACTGTTCAAAACTGCAATGCCTAATGAACACCTAAGAGAAAATATGATAATCTGTACCCCTTCAAACAAGTCATGAGCATTTATAATTTACAGATCTGAGACTAACTAGCAAGAACTCTTCCAGAAAAGCCATGGAGTCCAGACTTAAAGAAAAAAAGAAGCACTTCTGAGAAAAAAAAATTAAGGTCACTTTTATACATGGCCAAGGACACAATTCCAGTTTCTACAGAACCTTTACATGTCATCTTTTTAAAAAGTTATTTTAAAAAGGTACTTGAAAATGTCTATTGTTTATAACAACTATGAGTACGCTGAGAGTGGATGGGGACAATATTGTTTGGGCATTCGATATGACGGTGGTGCAAAATACTGTCGGTGGTCACTTGTACTTCCTGTTTCATCAACTAGCATAACATGATATGTAAATTCCTCATCAGACTCTCTCTGCTAGATACTGTTTTCCAACAGCACTAAAGCTAAACATGAACAGGCATGAAGCAGACTTATGTAGAGAGGGAGGAAAGGAAGTTGAGAGGTGGGCCTGAGCCTTTTTATTAGTGGCCTGCCCAAAAGGTCCTTAAACGTTAGTGAAAGAGAAGAAAGTCTTCTGAATCTTGTTTCATAGGCTTTAGAAAAATTAAAAACCATCCAACAAATCACCCACAATATGTTACTTAAAAGGAATTCATTAGAAAATATTTTTGTAAATTAGTCAATTAATGCTTCTATTTAAAGGAACACTTAAATAAAAGTAAATAAATCTGGCCCTAAATTTAGATTTTTATAAAGAAGACTTGTAAAAACGTTTCACAGAAAAAATAAATCACTTAAAGCTTCCAATTGAAACAGCAGATTTTTAAACAAACACTCCGCTGCAGGGTTTGCAGTCCAAACTTCATGGCCATGAGAACCTGGAAACCAGCGTCCTTGATTCTGAATGACCAGATGGGAAAAGTAAACAAGGAGTCAAGAAAAAAGGAACTAGATTTTTAAAGTTTACAGTTTTAATGAACTAAACTGCCCATAAATCAGTTTGGCAATCTGATTAGATTTTGTCCATTTAACTAGAAACAATTACTATTTTTTTTCCCAAAAGTACCTAGGCAACAAAATTATTTGTCACACTGACTTTCAATAAGACTCAACCCTTTTGAAAAGTTTACTCCTACATATGTTAATTTAAGAGGATAAAATAGAAGAGTCATCTGTACATATTTGCGACCTGATCCTTGGTAACTTACTTGTGATGGCTTCAGTTTAGGAATACTTTGTATTTTGCCACAATTGTCTTAGTCTGCAATATTTTCTTATTTGGCATAATTTCCCTATGTTAAAAATATTATAAAACTAATGGACACTGTATCTTGGCAGGACTGAGCTCTTAAAATACAAAGTTGGTGAGATGAAGAAGGATCCTGTACTTGCTTTTAGGGTCCCCTGTTAACAAATAAAATATGTTTAAAATAAATTGAAAACCCTCCTTAAAAAAAAGTTTAAATAGGATTCTGAAAGTGGCATGTTGCCCTAGGGTCCTCAGGAGGAGAGGGGTAGCAGGGATGTTGTCTGGATTGGGTGGAAATAGCTTACAGCAGGGGTTTTCAGCCTTTTTTTTTTTTTTTTTTTAATTTGCAGACCCCTAAACATTTTAAAATGGAGGTGCAGGCCCTTTTGGAAATCTTAGACAGGCTGCAGACCCCCAGGGGTCTGTGGACCACAGGTTGAAAACCATTGGCTTACAATGAGCATCCAGCAAACTCATTGGCTGGAGAGTCCTCACTGCCTTAGAAACAGTCTAATCAATCTATTTGTTGCCTTGTGGCTCTTAAATTCACACCTAACCTTTACATAAATCTGGTGTGTCAGTATCACTCCCTGTGTAGGCCAGTGGGGTTTCTGAGGAGAGGAGGGATGAGGGGGTCTCATGATGGTGAGGGATTCTGATGGGGAAGGTTTCCGGGGGGGGGATCTGCTGGAGAGAGTGAGGGGAGGTTGGGGGCGGGATCTGTGATGGAGGGGGTGGGAGTAAATTTAGGGAATCTGCTGGAGGAGGTGGGGGAGATCTGTGCTGGGGGAATGGGGGGGAAGTTTGGGGGATCTGTGGGGGGGAGGGATGGGAGATTTGGGGGATCTGTGCTGGAGGAGGTGGGAGAGGTTGGGGGGATCTGTGCTGAAGGGGAGTGGAATATCTGAGCTGGTATCTGTGCTGAGAGAATGGGGGGAAGTTTGGGGGATTTGTGGGGGGATGGGAGGTTTGGGGGATCTCTGCTGGAGGAATGGGGGGCGTTTGAGGGATCTGTGTGGGAGATGGGAGGTTTTGGGGGGGGATCTGTGCTGGTGGGGAGGCTTGACCGTTGGTCTGTGGGAGGAAGAGGGATCTTGAGGGTCGCTGGGGCGCTTCCCCATCAGCCCCTGCGGCCCCCCCGCTGTGGAGCGGGGAAGCGCCCAGGGCCGCAGGCCGGCGTGGGATGGGCCAGGTAACGCAGCTGCCCCTCCGGGGCCAGGCTGCCGCGGGGAGACCCCGTTCTTGGCACGGACGCGGAGACTGGGGGCGCCGCTCGCACCCTGCTGCAGCAGCGTCCGCGGGCGAGAGGGACGGGGCGCAACCGCTGGCTCCCTCCAGGAGCAGGACCCAGCCCCCCAAATACAGCGCGTCTCCCACCACCTGCTCCGGACCAAAATTAGCGCCCCCTCCCCCGTAAGAGATCCCCAGCCTGAGCCACCCACCTGTCTAATCCCTCCACCCTAGTTCCCTCCCCACCCCAGCCCCTCCCACCTCCCTACCCCCATCCACCTCCGGCCTCCCACCTACCTGCCCCCATCCACCTCCAGCCTCCCACCTACCTACTCCCATCCCCCTCCAGAGCCCATTGCCCTCAGGCCTCCCACCTACCTGCCCCCATCCACCTCCGGCCTCCCACCTACCTACCCCCATCCCCCTCCAGAGCCCATTGCCCTCCGGCCTCCCACCTACCTACCCCCATCCCCCTCCAGAGCCCATTGCCCTCTGGCCTCCCACCTACCTACCCCCATCCCCTCCAGAGCTTATTGCCTCTCCAGACTTCCTCCTACCTATCCCCATCCTCCTCCGGAGCCTATGGCCCCTCCTGCCTCCCATCTACTCACCCTCATCCCCCTCCAGAGCAAGAGCTCCATGCCCCTCCAGCTGCCCGAGCGATCCTCACTCCCTCCAGAGCTAGAATGTCCCTACCCTTCCAGTTCCAGCATCCTATCTACCTTCCCCCATTCCTCCAGAGCAAGAGCCCCCAGCTTCTCTTCTCCCTGTCCACCCTGAAGAGCCTTCCTTTTTCTCCAGTTTTCTGTCCATTTTAGCAGAGTCCCCCAGGAAGGACAGCCCTTCCTCCCATCTACCTAATCCCCACTGCCAATACCAGAGCAAGCACCTCCATCTTCTTCAAACACATCTCTGTTTCCTTCCCACTTTTCCACTGCCACTTCCAGGCCTCTCATTACAGCCACTATTGCTCTATTATATTTTTATCACTCTTTTCAAGTTTAATTTAATTGATGGTTGATGATCCCCCTCCCAGTTGGAAGGAGAAGGATTGTCACTCCTTGATTGCTTAGAGTGGCAGCTTCTTTGCATTCCAGATCCCTGCTGGCCTGGGGAGCAGGAGACTGGAAAATGAAAGTTGGATTACAGTCTACCCTCTCTCTCCCCCATCCCACCCCCAATCTTTAGCAGTGGAGTAAAATGCTCAAGACCAATAAGCCTGGGATTGCTCTGTGCCTGAATTTGCCACCGATTGGCTGGGTGACTTTACAGAAGTCATTTCACCTCTCTGGAGATAATGATACTTTCCTAACTCATACGAGTGTTGAGATGATTATTTAATGTGTGCACAGGACTCCTAAGATATAAAATGGTATATAAGTGTTAAGAGCCCTATGTAATTGAAAACAATTGCTTGGTGATAGCCAGAAACTAATCTACATTAGCATTATGTGAGATCCTGTTTAAAGGCTGTTGAGAAATTAGAGTACCTTTTTCCTGGATTTTTCTTTTAAAATGACAAAGAGAATTTAAAAGGAGTGAAAGAATCTTAAACAGGGATGACTAAAGCTCTAGGCCCGCTAGCTGATCTTTGCAGTGTGTCCATTCAGGTCAAGAGAGTTCCACCTGGGCAGAGAGGTTGACCCATGTGGTCAGACTGCAAGATGAGGAGTTGGGGAGAGGAGAATGGTCTGGTTAAGGCACAGGACTCAGGTCAGGATACCTTGTTTTTGTGTTTAGCTCTGGCACAGACTTCTTATGTGACATTGGGCAAGACTTGCAGCCTCACTTTTTAAATAGGCCATTGAGTTTGAGTGCCTGAGACACCTTGGGCCTGATTTTTCAAAGGTGCTAAGCACCTCTAGCTGTCATGCACTTGCTACTGCAATACAAATAATAACATAACTTCTGAAAATTGGACTCAGGTTGAATATACACAACTATTTCATTCGGCAGAAAATCCTGTTTTCTCTATGTAAGCTAACATTTTTACTTTTAAATTTCAGATTAACCTTCTGTGGGTTAATGATAGAGAGAAAACTACCAGAAATCAGACAGAAACTTCCCAATGATCTGATTAGTTCCACATTTACTGGCTAACAACTTTCCCAGATGGAACTAGACAAATCAATCAATAGTGCTGTTACTAAAAAGCCTAATGAAGATGCTGCAGAGAGTTGCAGGAAAAGGTGAATTTGATCGCTAGAATCAACATGCAAATTAAGAACATGGTAACACATTCCCATTGTCCTTTTTGGATTGCTTTGAATTTACCTTGAATGAGTATGATTTAACAATGAATCTAACATATTTCTGAGATCCGTATAAAATTGCTAACTTTGTGTAACAGTGAGTGAACATATTTTATCCTGATGATGATGATCTTTTAAATACTGTATTTAAATACAGTAATCACTTAGATATGCAAACTGGCTGAAACAGTAACAGCTTAGTTTGTTGTCTTCATGCAACCTCAGTTTGGTTCCTTTTTCTGGCCTTGGATTCTGCAGGGAAGCAGTGGTTGAGAGCACTGTAGAAGCTATTAAACCACTGAAAGGAAGGCAGCTTATTTCTCTGCAATGACCCTTTTGGCTGCTTAAAAAGTAGCTTCAGCTCCTAATGATCTCCATCCAGCTCTCCTGGGTCAGAAGTGTTAGAGGATTGGGGTGATATAATAAATGTGGGGTTCTTATGGGAATCATTAACAGTTAATAGAGCTGAAAAATTAATGACAAAAACCTAAGGCAAAAAATCCATTGACAGGGGGGAATTCTCTGGAGTTCCTGGAGGGACTTTGGGTGTAAATAAATTGAAATGTATTATTTAAATTACCCACTGTTATATCCTAATTCTACTTTGTTGTTGTGAAGATTATCTTTTCTAGATGATATAAATGTATCCGAAGATGACCAGAAATTAAAAGAGACAGTGAAAGTGTACGTATGTATAGAGATGAGGGATGGGCTGGTCCAGTTCCCTGATGAGATATAAGGCCTTTTTAGAGGACTTGAACATCCACTGAAATGAATTATGAGCTACAAAGTCCAGTCTCATCCTGCTCTGTTTAGAAGGATTGTGGGTTCCAGGATAGGAAGACTAAAGGGAGGGAAAACAGAAGGCTTTTCAGGGCTCTAACTAAGAACCAGAGACCAGCTCCACCCAAAGAGAAATGAGAATGGATATTTGTAGATTTAAGGCCAGAAGGGACCACTGTGGTCCTCTAAGGTGACATCCTGCATAACACAGACCATAGAACTTTCCTAAATTAATTATTATTTGAACTAGAGCACATCTTTTAGAAAAACATCCAATCTTGGTTTTAAAATGGTCAGTGATGGAGAATCTACCACAACCCTTGGTTAAAATGTACTCCATTACTGACTGCCACATTTTGTTGCCATCTTTTCAGTTACCCTTTGATATCCTGTACAATTCTAAATAATGAAATAATAATCATTCTCCCTATTGCAGAATTGCAGGAAAAGAAGTAACTGCAAAGGCCATTTGCTTTCTTACCTTTGGCCTCTACTTGGTTAAAAGCTTTACCCAGCAACGCTTAGATATAGTAGGAGGTAAGAGGCAGCAAATTCTAGTCAAATAAAAGGGGATAGAGGAACATTTAAATAAAAAAGAAAACCAAAGTCTGACAATATGGTGATGGAAAAATATACTGAAGCATTTGGTGTGGGGAGGAGTGAATCTGACAGGAGGGAGAGGCCACAGAAATATGGAAAAGGGAGAATTTTACTCCTGTATTAACAAAGTGTTTTGCTGGGGTGTTTAGCCATGCAACTCCCTATAAATGCAGCATTGCTAGCACTTGGCATAACCTCTTGAAAATAGACCTAAAGATATAATCCAAGTTTAAATTAAACCTCTATAAGGTGCCCGTGCAAGATAAAAACAAGCTACCCACTGTTATCTAGTTTGAGGCCTTGGTTCAATACGTGCCAATGAGAGCATTTCTCTTTATAAGCATTATGCATAGTAGTGATGACAAAAATGCCATATATTCAAAAGACTTTTTGGTTTTGCTTACTTTTAATTGCTGGTTTAAAGTAAATCCCAAGTTCAGTGAAACATTTTAAGGTATAAAACTGAGGTGTATTAGTCCAACAGTTCTGAACATCTTAAAGATAAATTTGCTTTTCTATCTTACCTCAAATGCTGCAGCTGTTCATAAATAATGTTAGGGAAAAGTTGTTAGTTCAGTAACACAATGGGTATGTTTTGCTCCAACATTCCTAGGACATTTAGCCACAATCAAGCAGTGAAATTGTCCTCTTCACAATTCTGTTTAGTGACCTACAACAGCAGGACTAGAAGACTGATCCTCGTGGATGGCAAAGGGTGGTTCAGCTTGGATTTACTTGCTTCTAAGACTGTAGGTGAGAGAGATCTTTATCTGTCAGGCTCAAGAGGTCAGTCTACCTTGAACTCCACAAAAGATTAAAGATGTAGCAAATGTCCAAACTCTGTTTTGTAGTTAGGACATATTTTCCTGGTGTGATCATCTTCCTGTTCAATTCATTTTGATTTACATGCACTTGCCTCCATGAAAAAACCCTTGGGTTGCAGTATACTATTGTACATTCATGATCTACAAGTAGCATATATGAGTAGGCTTTGGTTCCTCTTGGTTTTGTTTGCACATCAGAATATCATAACTGTTTTTTTTAAACATTTATTGAGGGGACTGGATGTGATCAGGAAATTAGAAATAGGATAACAGAATATTTTACTTATTAAATTAACAGTTCAGCCCAGGTTGATAGCAAATGGCCTGAAATTGTTACCATATGATGACTCTTCATTGAAATGAATTGGGAGACTCAGTTAAGTTTGCAGGGGACAGGTGTCCATCTGTCACCAGCTACTTCAATTGTCATTAATTGGCTTTTTTGACAGTAATTTCAATAGAGGCACCACAGATTGAATGGGCCACGGACACTGAATTCTTCTGTCGCCCATAGACGTTGTCCCTTTGTTGTTGAGGTGCATTCTTGGGGCAGTGTGTAGAAAGCTTCCATTGCTGTGTTGTTCATGTTGCACCTATTTTGTAGAAAGAAGACTTCAGTCTCTAGGTTTTTTTAATCTATCACCTTCCATCAGCACTAAAAAAAATGACAATGTAAAAAGCTTATTAAAAATGATTTTCAAAATAAATGTCATTAAAATTTCAATATAATTTCCACTGAAAAACAATTTAGTGTCGCTTGTGGCTCATACAGTTATTCATCCTTTATTATGATTATAGTAATAACTCTTAAAATATATCAATATTAATATTATAACATAAAACACATTATTATAACCCTGAATTTGAAGAGTTTCTTGCCTATTGGGGAAGTGTTCAATGATAGTCTACTATTACTTATTTATTTATTTATTTGTATTGCAGTAGTTTTTGTATTGCCTAGAGGGCCCCAGTTAGGATCAGGATGCTATTATGCTTGATACTTTACAGACACAGAGTAATTTACGGTTTCTGCCCCAAACCTAAGTCATGCTTTTCATTTTCTGTTCTTTTTTTGGATGTGACTTCTTTCCTCCCAAGCTATGTCCTCTTCCCCATGGATCCAACAATAAACTGACAGGGCAGAATTCTTCTATGCAGTCTACAACTCAGACCTCAGAATTACAATGTAAATCTTGACTGCATATTCTTTATTCATTCAGTGCATGGAACTTTCATGGTGTTTATGGGAGCTTTGCCAATGTAATTAGTGCAGAATAAGCAATCAAAACTACAGCATGGCTCAGAAAGAAATCAAGCCTTCATAAGAATTTGTGTGACAACAGTGGTTATCAGACTGTCCTGTTACAAGAGATTGTTACTTCACTGCAAGAATTTGCCACGGGATACCATTTGGGAGGAATAATCTTATTCAAAACAAAAGATCCATGTTTTTAAATGTCCATGCTAACTGTGCCTGCAAAATGTATATGTTTTTTAGAAACACACATTTGCATGCACAGAAATGGAGATTGTATGTGCAAAGACTGAAATGCATGAGCAAACTTGTATTTTGCATGTGTTTTTTCAGTGGTCACCTTTAAACATCCTCAGTTCCAGGTTACCATATAATGGTATCTTAGACACCATAGTTCCAATCAGATAGGGAGAAGGTAGGGAGGTAGTTTTTTTAAAGTGTAGTCCAGTGTCTGAAAAACAGTAGGAGAAGCCTTGAAAAATACTGATGAAATGTAAATTACTTTTTTTTTGCTATTTTAAGTAAATTTGCTAAGATAAGTAGGATTTATATATATATAAATATATATATAAATTTTAAAAAAATAGTAGGCAATTTTTCACCTGCACCAAAACGTTATACTTTATAAGATATTCTGTGCTGAAAAAGTACATGAGTGATTTATTAGACATTGTTTCAGTTTGTGTTTTGATTTTGTATTTTTGGGTTTTGTTTTGTTTTTCTAGTTAAAAGGGAAATGGATTTTCACAAGTACCAATTCAACATAGTGAGAAGCATCACTTATTGTGAAAAATTCAATGTTTACTTTGTACTGAGACGAGACTATGCACTTAAGGTAAAAGCACCTACTATCTGCTGTGTTTATTTTTTTCAGCTACACCTCTACCCCGATATAGCGCTGTCCTCGGGAACCAAAAAATCTTACTGCGTTATATCGAACTTGCTTTGATCTGCCGGAGTGCGCAGCCCCGCCCCCCTGGAGCGCTGCTTTACCACGTTATATCCGAATTTGTGTTATATCGGGTTGCGTTATATCGGGGTAGAGGTGATTTTGAGATTATTTGTGAGCTCTGTTGGCAATTTAAATTTATTCATACATGAAGGAGGAGGTCTCAAATCCCTTATTTGGGACCATAGTATCCAGGATTCAAGCAGCAAGGGGATAGGGCAGAGTAATTACAGACCGTTCAGGATACCCTCCTCTGACTGTCCAATAGTTGCTGTTGGAGTAATACAAATTCATTCTGCCCCCACTTTCTCCATCTCTTGAGCTGTTTATTTCTGCTCTGCAGTATTTGCACCTCTGCCATTTTAAAATCAAGAGCCTGTGTTCAAGGTACAAACTCAGTTCATCTGTGTAGCAAAGCTCAGCATTATCACTGTGCCAACAGATTGACCCAGTTGTTTCTCTCATCATAGTTTATTAAACTAGTTCCATTGACGTGTAGTATGACGTTACACATTGCAAGAAAACAACAGACTCTTGAAGGAGAAAGAGTGGCTGAATTTTGCATCCACTATTGGCATGGAAAGCAGTACAAGTTTAGTAGAACTACGGTGAGAGAAATATGGTTTTTATCACTTTGTGTGATGAATCTGTTTAGCTTAGATTAATCTGTCTATCTAATCTATTTTAGGTATTTTAGGATTCATGTCATCATAGTAGCTGAAAACCAATGGAGGAGCCACATATTGATAGAAATACAGCCCAAATTACCCCATAAGTGCCTATCTCCATTAATTATATGTCTCTAATTGTCTCCATCGCTACAGTAAAGTTTACAAAGAGTTAAAAATTATAATTCCTACCATTTGTGAATTTATAATTTAATTTTAAAAATTCAAATAAATAGTCTGTCAATGAGGACAAAGTTTCTGAAAAGTTTTGTACCATATCTTTTGGGGAATTATATCCTTGCTCTCAAAGGCCTAAGTCTAGAAAGAGACGACTTCAATGCTTTGCTGGATCAGGGCCTTAATTACCCACAGTCTTTTTGGCATGCTTTGTGAACATTACTTTTCTTTTCATAAGGTGTATAATAAGGATTATGAAGAGATCTGCTCAGTAGAGAATGTGGAGACACGTCTGTTGACACTTATGGTATTCAATCCTGTGAGTGATGAACTCATTACAGGAGGAATCAAAGGCGTAAAGGTAAGGGAATACCTCAGATGAGGTTTGAGTTGTCTTTTGCAACATTCTGGAAGCACAGGCATGAATTTAATGTAGGGCAAAGGGAGACTGTATGCCTTGGTGGATTGATCAGGGGAACTTTCACACTTAATTCACTGGTTTGAGCCCAACATTGGTCAATAGTGACTGAAGGATGTTACCATCTGATGACTGCTTGGTTGTGCCAATTAATTCTCTAGAGGTCAGATAACCAGATCACAAAAACACTATCATAACTTCGTGGCAGTCTCAGCAGAGAAATCAAGGGTCTGATTGCATTATGGTAACTAAACCTTTCTCACTTCACTAGAGTTGATTTCTTCCAGGATAGAGATCAATTAGATTACTGGGGCTGAAATTTGCATCGCCACCGCCCTTGTTATGTATATATAAGTACAGGCCTATAGACTTGTCAATTCAGCACCTTTCACCAACACTCTATTTACTTTGAAAATAAAATGAGGAGAAAATATTGTCGATTGGCTGGTTTATTTAGTTTCACTAATAGCTGGGTTGGCGTGATGAACAAAGAGAATAGTCAGTGCAGCTAAGAAGCATTTCTTAGGTGATGAAATTATCTCGTGATCATCATTTAATTTTTTTCTGTCAAAACAAATTAAACGTTTCATAAATGTTTTCTCATTAAAGCTGCTCTTACTTTAGGCTTATGTCTTTTGAAGCATTCAGGTCTGTCGGTATGGAAGTAATGGGAGAGCTTAATGGCTTCTTGAAAAGGTTTTGATAGTTGACATTCAGATTTCCAGTTCTAGACTCAAGTACCAAATCAAGTTTGCAAAATTGTCTTTGTATTCTTTTTTTCTTTTAGTTCTGGAAGTTTAAAGAAACAGAGAATACAGATTACACTGATGCAGTTCACATGTCCAATTACAAGCTTTTCCCCAGGTAAACAGATGTTAATTATTTGAGTTTAGAAAGTGACTATGTACATGGGTTCTCACAACAAATTTTTTGGTGGCCTCAGACTGCAGCCACCAATTTTTGCTGGTGGCCACACTGACACTTTTTCCTAAAATACTTAGTTAACTTTAGGAAAAACAAATAAATATGCACATCCAGATCATTATAATTAATTTATATAGGATTTTTTTGTGTATTTGTTTTTTTTTTTTGCTGACTCAATAATAAAAATAATGCTGTGAAAAGTGATATTTGTATGTTTGTTAATATAATTTTTCACGGAAGACTTACTAGTTAGCTGGGAGGCTGTGAAAAGTGATTCTTGTATGTTTGTTAATATCACTTTTCACAGCCTCCCAGCTAGCTAGTAAGTCTGCTGTGAAAAGTGACACTTGCATGTTTGTTAATATCACTTTTCTCAGCAAGCCCCAGGACAAACTACTGTATATCTTTGTTGTGAAAGCTTTTATAATGTTAATGTAACTTATTATGAATGATTGTACATTGTGAATATTCATAGACACATACACTGCATATCTGGAAGTAATAACTATGCGATTTCTATTCAAAACCTTGTGCTAAGTGAGTTTATCATGCACCTTTGAATGCCTCACCTGCACTCTGCCCACTAATCCATCTCCCCTGTATTTATTCTAACATTCTGAAACTCTAAGTAGCTTCAACCAGCAGATTTTTTTTTAATCAAATCACCTTGCCAGAAAAATATTTCCCCTTCTCCTCCCAAGTGTGAAACTCCTCACCCCTCTCTGTGTGCTTCCAAAAATTATAATGGTCTGAGGCCCAGGACAAGTAAATTCTGTCCTGGGCCAGTGTCAGCTTTTCTATATATATAAACATCTAATTTTACAATCCATTTACATATAGCACTGAGAACTAGAAAGAGTAGCTTTATATCTTTTGAAAGTAGATATTCACAGGTTCTCGATGGGATCAAGGACTAGCTTCTAGTCCTGGGAAACTGAGATCTTGTGCTTTCAATTTGTGTAATTTTTATGTAGAAGAAGGTATTTAGGATGGTTTCATGGCTCTTTCTGAACCCAGTAGACTTGGACTTATAATAAGTAAGGCTCTTGGCTTTACAGCAGTGGTGGGCAACATGCGTCTCGCGGGCCATACGCAGCCCGTCAGGGCAAGCCGCTGGCAGGCCGCCAAACCATTTGTTTACATTTTCATGGCTGCCCACAGCTCCTAATGGCCGCAGCCAGGACCGCGCCACTTCCCGCAGCTCCCATTGGCCGGGAACGGCGAATCACGGCCACTGGGAGCTGCGGGCAGCTGTGCAAATGTAAACAAACGGTCTGGCGGCCCACCAGCGGCTTGCCCTGACGGGCCGCAGGTTGCCCACCACTGCTTTACATGCAGAGTAATACAAAAATAACCCCTGTGACCTTTTTAAAAACTCCAAACATTCCTAAAATAGTTTTTATGTAAACATATTTAGCCTGGGGTGGTATACTATAAAAGTTTTATTGGCATTTGTCTGGGATAATCAGATTTGCTTACCAGTAGTAAATCCATGAGTTAGTTATGTGCCATGCCAAACGTGTGAATAAAACCTTTAAAACACACCATTATATATTTCCAACATAGTGTGTGTGATGATTAGACAATTGTTTGAACACTATAATCAATTGAAACGTGCTCATTACCAGCTTCTAGGAAACCATGATTTTTAAAAAAATAAAATATATCCAGCAGCTTTCATAAAATGAACTGTGTAGTCTTATAGTATGCAAAAAACTTCACAAACCAAATGACTCTATCATTTTATTTAAATGTGTACAGTAGTGTTGCTGTAGTCTTAATCATGTTTTTTTTTAAATATAGTGCAGAATTCCCACACATGAGGCAAATCTGGTGTACAAATATGGAGTTTGATGTCAATATGCAAAGACTTTATTGCTTTTCTAATTGCGATCTCTTCTGCTATGATACCAAAGGGAATATACTGTTTCAGCTAACCAGTGCCCACCAAAGTACCATTCTCTCCTGCGTCTATTCATCATACTCCAATGCTTTGCTTACCTCCTCCAGGGACTCTGAAAGTAAGGTGGCACACAGGAACAAAGCATCTGAGCCTATGATCACACTTCTTTGTTTCTTCATACTTTACCATATGTTTTTAATGAGACAGCAGTGCTAGTATTTTAAAACAGCAGTAGTGCTTCAGTGTATAAATGACATTCTAATTCTAAACTTAACTACAGCAATTCTTGCTCCCACATTTGAAGTCATGAAGGAAATTTTCCGTAGGCCATATTGGCAGAGGGTCTAGTAGTTATTGCCTCTCTGGGGCACAGAAAGTCTGGGTCACGTGTTGTGTCACATAATCGATTTCTTGCAGTAACCGGTGGGCCTAGAAATTAATGGACCTCAGTCTTACCTGTCATCATCTTCTGTGTTTCTCTGAATTTTCATAAATAGAAATGTTATCTGTTAACATTTGAACCCAACCATAAATCTTAACATATAAAGTGTGACTTCTTTATGAATGTAGATCTGCTAAACATTTCAAAAAAGTTCAGCAGATGAATGTCTTATCCATTATTTATTAATATTTAATCTCCCAAAAATATCTTCCCATTATCCTCCACTGAATCCAGGAATCACTTTCTGGGATAATAGCAAGGTGCTGAGCACATCCTAAAAGATGCAAAATGCCTTCAGCTTCATGGTATAGAAGGACGTGGTCCTTTGAAGGATTGGGCCCAACTGTACGTCCTGTCAACCTAAATTTTGAAGTAGCAATTCCTCTAAGCAGTAGTGGTTTTCATTCATCATCTTACCAACTCTATATGATACAGTTTTTGATTTGACTATTTTCTATCAGGAATCATTCTTTCTTTTGAAACATATGTTGGAGAATATGTTATTCCCTCAAGGGAATAAGCAGGCACATTCTGAATGGTAATTGATAACGTTACTTTCCAGACTTTATAGTCTTTTCCAAGTAAAGAAGCATCTGGCCTCCTTTTCAGTACCCTGGCTAAAGCATGAGAAAATGCCCAACCACTCTGTTTTGATTTTCTGATGATAATTATTAGGAAAATCAGGGATGCTCATGATGAAAAGGACTAAAGTAATCGATGTTTTTTTCAAAACCACTGAAATCATAGTGTTCATGACTCCCATGAATTGACTTCCTTTGTTAACTAAGTGCATTTCTTCACAGTACAGTATATCATTAGTGCTTGGGAGAGAAAATACAGTATTAGATCAAAAGCAAAGTTACAGTTTTAGTGTTTGGTGGGTTTTTTTTTTGTTTTTGTTTGTTTGTTTTTTTAAGAATAATCAGGTTTTTGGTGTTGTCCTCGGTAAAATAACCAGAGACAAAGAAGTGTAGTTTATTTTGTCTTCTTCATAATTTAATTCTCATTTATTTACTGATTGATGGTTATTGTTTTATTTTAACCAGTAAAATCTTGGAATGACCAGGGCTGTTTGTTGCATGTGTTTCATGGCCATACCAGGTCTGTCACACACATCCTCCTCCACCCAAACACTTTGTCTTTATTTATCTCTGGATCTTTGGATGGGACAGTGAAACTCTGGTCCCTGGATACAATGGAGCTGTTTTACAGGTACTTAAAAAGGCCATACCATTTATGTAAGTTTCACTGCTTACAAATAATGAAATATAATCAAGTTAAAATGCATTTCTAGCATTAGAATTTGCAGCATTTTATGGTATGTTGGATGAATTTCAAAGGATAAATACAGGTTTCAGAGTAGCAGCCGTGTTAGTCTGTATCTGCAAAAAGAACAGGAGTACTTGTGGCACCTTAGAGACTAACAAATTTATTAGAGAATAATTTGTTAGTCTCTAAGGTGCCACA